TGCCGTTTGCCATTCGGTGCAGTCTGTCTACAATCAAATTTTATCTACAACCTGGCATGGTCTGTGCACATAAACCGGTTTGTTCATAGCCTGGCTATTCAATGCGCAGTGTGCCCTTTGCGCTTTAGAAAAAGGTAGCTCTGAGACATCTCACAGACACAGTTTTTCTGAAAGCAGCTCTCCATAACACCTACCTTTCGATTACAAACCGTGTTGTTCCGTAAGCCTGGTTGTACGCACACTCCACCGGCGCAGTCGGCGATCGGAAAGGCGCTATCACCCACGCCCTGCACGGGTAGCCGCAATGGTCAGGCCGCCGTACGCGCCCGTCGCGACGTTCTCCCCGTCACTGCTCTGCGACAGCACGTAGGAATCGTGGATGCTCCCGGGTCACATGGCACCACTATCAGGATCCTCGAGCGCGCGTCCACAATCAGCTGCAAGTTGATAGAGTGACCGTAGTGCTTGTTCACGAACAGTTCATCGTGCACGGCGGCCCTTGGATCCGAACGTGGGTGACGTCGATGACTCCCACGACGCCCGGAAAGCCGCCCATGACGTAAAACTTCTGCTGCAGTTCGGGGAGTTCCGCTGCTGTTGACCACCCGAAGGAGGAAACATGGTTTACACCGTCAGTTGAATACTATACACGTTTGCAAGATGGGCTACGGGATGCTTCCATCTTGAATGATCGTGGCGCCGCCTAGCGTGCGGCGTGCCTCCGAGGGGCTGGTGTGGGTAACTTTGCCAATCGTCCAGCAAACCCAATGTGAATGCTGTGAGCGATTTCCGCTTTTATGTGTTTTGTTGACTTTTAGTAACATGTTATCGCTTTTAGTTGGTGGCTAGTTATCCCGAAGCCTTTTTAATCCGTTCGTGCGCCTTTGCGACCGTGAACAAGCCATATATATTTTTTTCAAGCTCGTTTTCCTTTGCGAGCCGTGGCGATGGTTTCGACGAGCGACGCCTGGGATTCTTTGGATTTCTTGGTGCTTGACGGTAAGCTTATGTAATCATTTTGTTTACAGAAATGTATAATTAATTGTAGCATTCACATTAGTAAAACCTATCAAGACGTTAGGACCGCGAGATCGAACCGTTCATGCTTTGAACTGCCGTCATGCCGCGGACCTCGGCGCGACTCGGACCTCGGGGAGTTTGAGCATAGCGTTATTGCTGGCTGCGAACACGGTCGAGCGTCGCGCTTTTAAGAGTGTGCTTCGGAGTAGTAGCGAGAGCTCCGGTTGAGTGACGACGGATCACGGCAGCGGTATGGTCAAACTCCATGCGCCCGAGATGTGCTCCGGCAGTGTGCTCGGGCAGATTTGAGGTCGCACAAAGAACTGCATCTTCATTGCACATGAAAGAAAAAAACAAAAGTGAGTACGACAGTGTGCTAGTGCGGTGGAAAGGCGGAGGCCCATGCAGCGGTCCCCCCAGGAATTAAAATTAAATGTGGTGTCTAGAAAATTTTTTTTCCTTTTTTTTTTTTGGGGGGGGGGGGGGGCAGAGGAGGGGCAGGCTTGGCGAGGCGGGAGGCGGCATTAAGGTTTAGAAAAACAAGGGGGGGGGGTGTAGGGAAATCACTGGGCCCATGCATCTGGTGCGCCTACCGAACTGACCTATCATAGCCCAAACAAATAAAAATAAAGAGGGGGTGAAGAAGGATGACTACAACAATCATTTTACACAAGACGACAAGTTAAACAACCTTAAATGGCATGCGCTACATTATGCTGTAGTTTGCGAATGTCCTCTCGGCTGGCAGGAATCGCAGCAGTCAGGGAGTCGGGCAGGTTTCTAAGTAGACATGACCGTGCTCGCTTGCGCTAGAGCTTACTGCCATTAGTTCGGTAAAATTACGATGCGGGTAAGCAAAAAATGTGCCAGGCGCTCTGCCCTTTAAACCGCCCAGTGGCAAAGAAAGAAAGACTCAATATAGGAATTCTTTCAACGACTTCGCCTTACAATACAAGCCGTTTTCAATAATGTCAATCATGAGCACGAACTGTTAAAATGCAGCTTTAATTAACTCTGCCCCATGTGATCACGAGTGGCACAAACGCATTATTGAGTAGCAGTGTCTGGAAAAACATGAACCATGCTAATTCTGTTTAGGAACAAAATTTCATTACAAAGTGAAATATTGCTAAAAATAGCTTCTTTGTCCTATATCGAGAATTCAATGTTGACCAATACTTGGACATACACGAGTCGTAAGCATTGATCGTCTTTTTTACTCCTTTCAGAATCGATGTCCTACGTGCATCCTAAGGAGGTGTCAATGTGGGAGGACAATATGAAGTCGTGGCCACCCATAGAGAAGCCGGATATCGTCTTCTACTTGGTCCACTCAAAGGCCTGCGATCTTCAGGAGGTCAGAGCATACAAGAGCCTAGAGTCGTATCTCTACCTGACAAGCGGTCTCGTGGGAACTGTCCTTCACCACAGAATAAGCGACCAGCTGGGCTACTTCAAAGCAGAAGTGGGTAGATCCCAGTCCTTTAATGCTGCTCCACACAAGGCGTGGGCATGCGTGCACACCACTGGTCGGGTAGTTACAGGAGGCTGTTCCTGCATGGCTGGCCAGGCAAAGGTGTGTAGCCATGTTGGGGCCATCTTGTGGAAGATGGAGCATGCCTTTCCGAACGAAATGACGGGCACAGCTTGCACCGACGAAGCTGCCGCCTGGAACCGAGGTACCAAGAAAAACGTAACGCCAACAAGCCTCGACAACATTTCATTTGGAAAGAATGAGCAAAACACAGAAATTCTTGGGACCGTAGATGTGCTGCAGTTTCACACACATGAAGAGTACCTTCATCACATTGAAGACGGCCCCCTTGCAGGGCTCATGAAAATACCAGGGACCTTAATTGTTTCATGAGACACTGATGGCACCTCCACGAGACCCTCCAGCAGCACAAGACCCTTCAGCATGTCAATGCGATGCAATACCTCTTGCTCACAGCAGCCACGAAGATGCGACCACCCTTCCAAACAGCTGTCCTGCCTGCTGGGAGGCATACAACGAGCTTGTTGCCATCAGTGCACCTAGTATGGACCTGCTCTGCAAAAAAACAGCGGACCAAGGCAGCTGCACACTCTGGCACGAGAGCCGCCGCATGCGGTTAACGTCGTCGATGGTTAAAAGAATACCAATACTGGCATCAACTGACCCTTCCAAGGCTGTGAAGGACATACTTCACCCATCCTTTCGAGAGAATCAAGCGACGGAGCACGGCCGCCGCAGTGAGCCCAAAGCTAGGAGGAAATTCATGCTTGACCACCATTGCACCGTGCGACAAACGGGCCTGGTTGTTTGTCCGGAGCTTCCATGGCTCGCAGCCAGCCCCGATGGCATCATTGATGGAATTGACGCTCTTTTAGAGATAAAGTGCCCGAATGTATTGAACTGTGAAGACCTTCTAAATTCCGGAAAATACGACATAAAAAAGAATGGCAATGGCATTTTCGAGCTGCAACCAAAGGGAAGAAACAAGTTCTATTATCAAGTTCAGTTTGCAATGCACTGCACTGGAAAGACCGTCTGCCACCTCTATGTGTGGTCAGAGGGCCATGACGAGGTTGTAGTTGTCCCCTACAACAAGGACTTCATGAAGTGCCACCTACAAAGAGTGAAGAACTTTTACTTCAAGAGCCTGTTGCCGGCGTTTGTGGAGGACGTTAACTCTGGAAAGATAACGCTCTCAAATGAGTACAAGGAGCTTGCACGTATGTAATGGACCGAGGCGGACAGGCAGTGCAGTATTCTTTATTTTTTTTATACAATGTGTGATGCTTGAAAGTTTTGGCAGTAACAAGTTTGATTGATCAAAAGATAGAGGTACACTTAAGCATTCCTTATGAGTTGTGAATGCGAAAGCATGCAAGCCGCTCGTCCGCTCCCTTATTCGTCCCTCAATGTAGATTAGAATCTACATTGAAATCCCACCGCGCCGTGAAAATTGGAACCCACTAATTATTCCAAAACTTAAGGTTTGACCTGAATAGCGAAATATTGAGCCCGCAAAAAATAAGTTATTTACAGTATATAGAGTTGAACAGGTGATTGCCGACGGCCCCATACTGGCAGTACCATGGAGTGAAGGCCAAAGCTGCTTGCTTGTCTTGTGAACGACACGTGACAAGGCGTGGAATGACTACATTAAGCTGCCATGGCCACTTCTCCAGGGTGCTGCCAGTATACAGTTGTCAGCAATCACCTTTTCACCTTCATATGGGCAAAGTGTTGGGGAGAACATTACTTTTTGATTAAAGGCCCCTTCAGGTTGCACAACCCTGCACATACAAAAACTTAGTCGCTTGCAACCTTGCGATGCTGTATGGGGAGTGCTTGCTTCAAAATCCTGTAGGATTTTATCCTATTTATTGCCCGCTCTACGTGAATTCGGACAGACGCAATCCTCCTAGTCTCCGTCACCTCTTGTTCGGATAACTGAGCCTTCCCTCGCGTGAAGGCTGGCGTGTTGAGTGCTACTCCCTTCGCTTCCATCTCGGGGTCAAGAGAAAAACCCATGTCGGCCATCACATGATCGCCACGTTCAAAGTGTGAAATGATTCCAGAGTCTCTTACAATATGCTTGTCAGACGCTCGTCCACCGTAGACCTTGGACACGAACATCACCGATCCGTGGGGTGCAATAGCCACCAAAAACTTCACAGTGTTGTGGCCTTTGTGTGAGCTATACGTCTGTGCCCGAGCGAGCAATTTTTTCGGTCGCTGCAAGAACACCTCAGTGCAATCCAAGATGCAAGTAGTGCCTGCAAAACCATTCTCCTCAAAGGATCGCGGAATGTTTCTGAAGATAGTGTCTCGAGAGAGCCACACCACTACATTCCTTAGGACTTGCCCTAGTGTAGCAAGCATGGCGCGAAAAATGTTCCCTACAGTTGAAACCGAAACCGCAAACCTCCTTGACAGATCGCCATATATAAGGCCGAGCCTCAACTTTATTAGCGTGAGCAAAAGCTGCTGCTCAACAGGCATCATAAAATTTGTTGTAGCAAACTGTGGCACAACTTTCACCAACTCCTTGAAGACGTCTGCATGGAGACCGGTATAAAAAAAAGATGTCTCGATCCTCAAGGCTATAGCCACTATGAAGAGCAGGAGTCGCAGCTGGAGCTTTGGGTTTCGAGTAGGCGTGGTCGCGATGGGATGTGTCTTCCCGCTGGACCCCCTGGCGGCACACATCTGACCGAATTTGGCTGCCATGATCAGTTGCCTGTAAACAAAATCAGTCTATCAATTGAGACAACATGCTTATCGCGTTAAGCAGACCAGGCTTCTGCTCACATCGATTCGGTTTTGAATTAAACCTACTGTGTGCTCAGGAGTAGACTCCCATGATGTTGAGGCCAAATCGCTGTCGACAATTTGCTCGACCTCTTGCATGTAGTCGGTGCTCTGAAAGGAACAACTTTTTATCCCAAGCACGCAAGATATGTTTCTCACATTAAGTAGATCCTGTTGCTGCTTACGTCACTTAGATTATGTATTAGACCTACCGAGTGTTCAGGAACAGCTGGCCCTGAAGTTGAGGCTAAAGAGATGATCTGCTCGACCTCTTGCGAGGAGTCAGTGCTCTGAAAGGAATGGAACAGCATTTTATGGCCACTAAAATAAGTTAGCATGCTTGATATGTTTATTACATTAAGGGGCCCTGCAACAACTTTTTGACTGGTTTTTAATTTGCACCGAACCTGAGCGGACTCAACGTAGTAACTTAATGAAACTTTTCTTTTCTCGAATTTCGCTTTATTTTAGAAGTTATAGGCAAATAAAAATTACAAAAACAAGCAAAAAAATAACCTCCTTCATGACGTCGTTGGTCGTGGCTTGAGTGATTGTGAACTAGAGGAGAGGTAGTGAGCTCAGCGAGCCCTCACGGCTGCCGCACTCCGTGTCAACAGCTCGAGGGGGCGCCACTAAAGCATGTGTTGGATAGGCTGTACGAAGCGGGCGTTCAGGGCGGCTTGCATTGCATCTGCTGCGCAATTAAAGACTCATTCGGCACTTCATTGGCCACAAATGACAGCAAATACGGGGTAAAGATCGGTTCAGAACAGGAGCCACTTCGCGCTGCCATACCGCCAAACGGCCAAATCGCAAGCCAAACCTGTGCCGAAGGCCTTCGGAATGCTCGGAACCGGTAGGATCCTCAAGCCGGTTACGACTGTAGCGCCACCGCGTACATCCGGGACCTTTCTACGCTCGCCGCTCGTCAATGCCCGATCCCACTACCCCTTCCTAGTATGCGCCGCCTTTTCCACCGCTTGGTGGCGGGTATGTCCACGGGTCATTTCTTGTTTCTGTACTTTATAAACTGCATTGGTTTCTTTTCTGATCTAAAATACTAAACAAAAACTACTCTCACAAAATAATTGAAACGGTTCGCGCCACTTATATTTTGTATTTTGACTAAAAAGAAGCTTTTCGTGGCTCTGACCAGTAGTTAGGCCACGACCAAAGACCTCACATATCGCGCGCTTTCGGCACCGCGGGTCGCCCCCGTATGTGGAGGAGGTTTCCGCGTCGTCCCGTTAAAATAGGACGCAATGATATTAAGTAACTCTATCCGTGCCCGCTGGCTTGCCCGAACCCCAAGAGACGTGGAAACCGCAAAAAAGTTAGACGCTTAAATATGATTGCAGGGCCCCTTTAAGCAGATTACGCTGCTGCTCACATTAATTGAAGTATGTATTAAACGTACCGAGTGTTCAGAAGTAGCTGGCTCTGATATGGAGGCCAAGGCGATGATGCACTCGACTTCTTCTGTGGAGCTGGTGCTCTGAAATAAATGCAACAATGTTTTATGCCCAATAATTGGGGTTCCTTGTTTTCGGAGTTTATTTTTCATTAAATTCAAAGGATGGTTTTCAGAGTTTATTTTTTGCCGAAGATTCTGAGTTTATATTTGTTTGATTCCCAATTCTCGGAAATTCTGAGCTTAATTTTGCAGTGTTTTCTATTAAAAACAAATAAATAAATAATAACCAGATGTAAACGTGTGCCAGATAAAAAATAAAACGTGCTTGTATCATTTAAAATTTCTTCAGTTGAGTTTGGCGCAGGTGCCATTGCCATTGGCAATACTAATTTGTCCCACGACAAAAGTCGCACACAGGTGTTGCTTCGATAAACGTCGGTACCTTAGAATCAATAAAGTCCAGGGGGTAGTGGCTAGGAAGCTCGTAGTCATACCCACCTATTTCATCAATCTAGAACGCGGCCGCGCGAGGTGGAGTGGTTAAGGATGTAATAGAGAAGTTTCAACTGCCCCTCTTACCCTATTTTATACAATCTTTATGGTCCATAGCTTTCACCGTTACAAAAACATATCCTCTCCTTTCTCTAAATCACAAATCGCATGGCTCAAACCAGAAACCGAAAGAGTGGCTTTTGTCGTGACCCGTATGTACAATGCCCTGTTGCCCTGAATCAACCTTGACGAGGCAAGCAGTAAGACCCCATTTGACAACGGTTCAAAATTTGAAAGATAATTATGGTGGCATTTACCCAGGAACATGGACCCTGCGCTGATGAAATTCTAAAAAAAAAGTTTTCACTATTTTCTTTTTTTTTCCGGGAAGGGGGGAGCGGCATTGGCACATAAAAATTCGGTGTTTATCGGATAAATCCCAATTGACCAGAATTTTACCGGCGGGTAATGTTCCGAGTTTTTCGGATTTACCCCAAAACACAGAACCCTACCAGTAATGTAAGTTACCATGCCAGGTGTGTTTATCCTAATAAGCAGACCATGCTGCAGCTAGCATTAGTTAGGTTGTGTAATAAACTTGCCGAGTGTTCAGGAGCAGCTGGCCCTGATGTTGATGCCAAAGCGATCTTGTGCTCGGCAGTGGAGTCGGTGCTCTGAAAGGAATGCAACAGCTTTTTATTCGGGGTGTGCAAATATTGATCATCTCGAATTCGAATCGAATATCAAGGGAAAGCACCTCCATATATTATTCTGATTATTGAATATGTGAGCAGTATGGAAAAATGAAAAAAACAAAAAAGACGAACAAGCTAATAATTTTGTTTTTATTATATTTTGGCCCAGTGATGACCTTTTATATTAGGAAGTAAATAAAACGATCTGTCTAGGCAGCATGTAAAAAAAATCTTCCAAATAGTCATTGCAACTTGACCAGTGATTACCCACATAAAAGGAGTAAATAAAACAATAAAACAGTTCATCAGTCCATAACTAAACAGCATAACAAAGATGCAACTGAAAATATGGTCTCAGAAATAGACTGGTATGACCTTAGAGTATGAAGGATACAACTGATACTGTGCCCATAGATAGATGACATTTAAAAATATAAAAGAATATGACTATACCCGTTTTCACCTCAAGAAAAAAGCAGGTTTTGCGCATTGTTCACATGCGGTGCAAAGTAGTTCTTATGACATTTGCTTGTCGGAGGAAACAGCAATGCTTTTGGTGTTTGGAAGGTGTGTGTCTTGATAAGATAACATAGATCTAATCTAAAATTCACTTACATATATCTTACTTATCCACATAAAGAAGGAAATTAGTAATGCTCCTCAAGGAGTCTGATTTTTTTTACCACGGCTCTTGAGGTGAAACAAGTATAGATAATACATATCAGATGTAACTTACAATTGAGTCATGCAAATTGATTGGCAAAACAAAGTGAAAAAGAAACCGAAACTACTCTGGTCTCATGAGGCAGATTTTGTGAAGTTTTTTTTTACGTTCAACGAAAACGGATACCTAGCTTTCAGCAAATAAACATATTCTTATATAGTTCAGATTTTTCAGGGCATGTGCAGGGTACAGATTATTTGCTACTTGACCCAATATTTGCGGTTTGTCCGAACATTTGGCCGCGGCTGAATAATCGGGAACTTCTGAGCAGGCAATTCTCCAATCGAGTACGATTAGAATAAGGGAATTATTCAATTTATATTTGAATACTCGCACACCCCTACTTTTTATAGCCACTAAAATAAGCTAGGATGCAAGATATGTTTATCATATTAAGACGATTATGCTGCTGCTCACATCAATTCAGGTATGTATTAAATGTACCGTGTGTTCAGAAGTAGCTGGCTCTGATGTGGAGGCCAAGGCGATGACGCGCTCAACTACTTGTGTGTAGCTGGTGCTCTGAAACAAATGCAACAATGTTTTATGCCCAATAATATAACTTACCATGCCAGACATGTTTATCCTAATAAACAGACCATGCTGCAGCTTGCATTAATTAGGTTGTGCAATAAACCTACCGAGTGTTCAGGAGCAGCTAGCGCTGATGTTGATGCCAGAGCGATCATGTGTTCGGCAGTAGAGTCGCTGCTCTGAAAGGAGTGCAACAGCTTTTCACACTCAATGCCACAAAATAGTGCTGGACGTCGAATTTTAGGCATGCGAAGTTCGAGCTCTGAAACTAAAGAGAAATCGTGTCCTGCATAACCCCTGTGGCACTGGAGGCAATACATGTGTGTTTTCAGGGGCAGATTTAGAGGGGGGGTCCGGATGTCCTGACCCCCCTCTTGATTTCTGTGTGTGTAAAATTTAGGGCGTAAAACGAAGGAGAGGGGGAGGGGGTTCCTAAACATATGGTACGCTGACCAACACCTGACCTCCCCCCTCAGGAAATTCCTGCATCCACCCCTGTGTGTTCTAAGGATCAACTCACAATTCCACATCCAGCTCCAGAAGACAGTTTCTTCCTCTGCAACGAAAATTATAATAGTATGTTTGTTCAGATCACAGACGAAAGCCAAGAACCAGTATTCAATCATGTCAGCGCTTACCTTTGTGGTCAGCGGTTCGCAACTGGCATCACGCACCAAACGGCGCCTCCCAACGACAACCTGTCAGAGAGCATAAGCGTTTTAAGCGTACTGTGTGTATCAGAACTGAGACAGTAGTGTGATTAGGGTCACATTTACCTTACGCGCATACCCGAGAGAGAGCTGCGGGACGATATTTTCGTCCGTCTTCTCTCCAGCCACGAAATGGGCCGAACATACCTGGAATCGGGCATGAATGTTACGCAACAGGTAACGACAGCGATAAAGTTACGTTCCACGATAAAGACATGTTCTACTGACCCGAGTATGTTCTGTGGGCGTGAAATCCTTGAGGTTCAGCGCGGAGAGCCACCTTCCTTTCAATACCGGATCCTTGGGGAAGCGGTGGAACTTCACCACCCCGCAATTACATGACGTTTGTTGGTGGACAGCGCACAACTGCTGTCTTTATTTTTTCTCTTTCGATGATTGTTTGAACATCCGAAAACAGCGCAGTGTACTCCCGACGACCTAGTTGGGTTATCCATCGTGCAGTCTACACGAAGTGCCTTGAAAAGAGCACAAGCGGGAAGAGCGCAGAACCGGCAGAACGCGAAAACAGAGACACAAAACTACCAGACAAAAGAACGACGAAAAAGACCTCGACAACCTCTGAGCAACGCCACAGAGCAGGAACCTTGACCATACCTTGACTCTCGTTTGAGACGATGCTCGGTGGATGGATAAATAGTAGCTGTACCGTTGTACTCTTTGTAACAGGCGGTAGCTTGCGCCACCTCTCGCTAACAATAATCGTGAGAATGGAGCGATCGTCCTACACTCTAAAAAAAAAGGGTATCACCGTACACCCTTTTGTCCCATATTATACACCCCAAAACTTCATTTCGACGTACTGCGCCCTATGGTCGAACAAACGGCCCGAAATTTTAAGAGGGCCTTGCTAACGGTGCGATATAACTTATTAAATTGCTAAAGTACGTATCAAAGACCAAAGAAAGAAAACACGGAGTTTTTGGAGTAGGGCCAAAAAAACTCCGATAATCTTTTTTCTAGTCAATATTACGTACATTACCTATCTTAATAAGCTGTACCACACGGTTATCAAGCCCCTTGTAAAATTTGGGGCCGCCTGTTCTATTATAGGGCGCTGTACACCGAATTGAAATTTTGGGGTGTATTATATGGGACAAAAGGTGTAATGGTACACCTTTTTTTCTAAGAGTGTAGTTTGAGAGTAGGCCTCCATTCGTCGCGCCCATCGCGCGGTTCGAGGCTAAGTCGGTACTGATGATGATTGCGCTTGCAAACGTGTATACGCCTCGCAAGCGGCCTCATTTTCGTCTTCTGCGCATGAGAAAGGAAGTAGCGGTGACGTCAGAACGCCGAGCCCTGATTGGCTGATCGCGACCCCCCCTATCTGAGCGTCGTCTGCTCCTTTGCAACGTCGTCTGCTCGCAACGTTGCCTGCGTCTGTCTTACCTTTCCTGCGAATTTCGGAAGTGCAGGTCTTTACGAGCGAGCTCGACTTCGTCTTTCAGAGAGGGCAGACGAAATAACTCGAGCAGTACGTTGTTTTTGTCTAACAACTAGCAGACGCGCATCAAGGAGAGAAATCAAAGGACTCACTGGCGAGGTACCCCGAGGCGCCGAGTTTTGTTTGCTAAGAACCGAGAGGGGGTGGGCGTCCGCAAGTTCCCTCCCAAATACTTGTTCCCTTCTTTTGTGTGCGGCGAGACTCCTCACTCTTCAACGGCGTCGGCAGGTCGGCGCAGTTAACGTCGTCTGCTTTACGTCTGCTAGTCAAAGCAATGGCTGCTTTACCTTTCCTGCGTCTGTCGGAGATTCACCGCTTTTTCACCGGCGAGAGTTACCGTTGCCTCGGGAAACAGGAGATAACAAGAGGAAGAAATTGACCTCTTAATCTAAAATTGAGGTCAGCGATCAAAGTATAATACGGGATGGGTTCACAAGAGTCGCGCGGGACATATTTTATTCAGCGCGCCAGCCGGTCGTGGGCAGACGGTCGCCGAGTCGCGGAGTGCCTGCTAGGCCTAACTGCCGTGCTCGCTTGGTCGCGTTCGGTGGAATCGTGGCCGTTGGAGCTTTTCTCGGGTGTTTGTGGATCCAACGTTCTTGTTCGTCGTGGTCTGTTTAAGTACTGTTTACTTTTTTCTTGCTGCTTGAAGTCGGGACGCGTGAGAAGCGCACGTAGAAAAATAAACGTCCGTGGGTCGTCGCGACCGCGACGCTGTCGGCCATGCTGATTTGATCGTAAGAAGTGCTTAAGACAGCTTCGGAGCTGTCGTAGGGTTTCGTCGTAACCTGCGCAAAACTTGCGAAAATTTCGTTTCGTGAATACGAATTTGTTTTTAAGTTATGTCTTACGCACATTTTTGGCGTAAGATCGTTTCGTGAATCTGGCCTCTGCACTCCCGAAAGTCGCAGGAAAGGTAAGACAGACGCAGGCGACGTTGCGAGCAGACGACGTTGCAAAGGAGCAGACGACACTCAGATAGGGGGTCGCGATCAGCCAATTAGGGCTCGGCGTTCTGACGTCACCGCTACCCCCTGCGCAAGAAGCAGACGAACTTGCCCTCCGCATAGCAGTTTCCATTGCCAACATAGTCCTCAAAAGAACGAAGCTTGCCGCGAGATATGATCAATACATGTCATTCGCTACCGTTTTGAAGAGTCTGCTCCTTTTCAAAACTAACTCAAGTATCCACCAGCTGTTTCCACTGACAAGTTGTGAAACTCGTTATTTCAAAACTGTTTTCGTAATGAGGAACTCACCGTGATGCGAAAGACCGTGCCACATCAAAGACAATAAAAATAGAGTGAGCTTGGGGAAGGACCACTACACAACGTTTTGAGGACGCAATGACGGCGCTGCATGTTGACCAGAAGGGGCTTTTAACTGAAGAAAACAAAAGTCTCGATTGCTCCAAAATTACTTCGCAGCTGGCCGCTTAATAAATGTAACATATAGTCGAAGAGGAACGTTAGAAATAAGACTGTTTTCTCACCTCCAAGACTCCGGTGATACGCATGTTGTTGTCGCGGCGAAGGCGAAACCGAAACCTCGTCAGAAACGTCGAAGGTGTCGAGGGGGCGAAATCGGTCCTGGAAAACACGGTCCGACGGTGCCGCGGAGTGCATTCATGCGGCGAAGATTGTTTGGAGCCGGTGTCTTGTGGCCACGTCCGACATTTTGTTTACTCTGAGGCCGCCAGTGAGCCTCCTCGGTTACTGTCTCAAGATCTGAGACTAGAGCTGAGTCAGAGACTCGGTTTTGGTCTCAAGTCTAGACTAAGTTTCGTTTCGAGCAAGTGGCTAACCGCTGAGACTGTCTCAGTTTCGGTCTCCGTTTGGGTCTCAGTTTGGGTCTTAAATCGGCCGCCAGCTAATTTGCTACCGGGCTGTCACACGGCTTGAGACACAAGTTGAGTCAGAGACTCGGTTTCAGCCTCAAGTCCAGACTTAGTTTCGTTTCGAGCAAGTGGCTCACGTTCGGTCTCGGCTGAGACTGTCTCAAGTTGTGTCTCAACTCTTTCGAGCAAGCGGCCCCAGTTCGCCTGGCACGTCGTTCAGCACGACGTCGAACCGCTCGCAACTTCTCATAATCTGCGTCGATCGCAAGGTATTTGGCGGGGAGTTTCACAATTTTCGTGCTGGATGTCAATGATGATGTTATGCGGGCAGTGATGTCTGTATCTCCTGCACCATTTTTATATGCTGACTCTGTTTCGTTTCTGAAACGACTCCAGTCTGTATATGGAATTGTCCGGTTCTGCCTTCTTCCTCCAAAGCCGTCGAGGGAGACGAGTAGAGGCAGGTGGTCGCTGCCCCTGGTGTCAAGATCTGTCATCCATCGGACGGGAAGACGGAAGTCCTCAGAAACCGCAGTGATATCAATGGCGCTCCTGAGCTCTCCCCGAAGAAAAGTGTATGCAGTGGCGTACCAACTTGTTCTTGAGTGGGGGGGCAAACCCGACCCTCCTCCCCCCCCCCCCTTAATCGAAAATTCGGCGCAACTTTTGTCGAAGTTTTCTAAAGATGTGGCAATGATTCGGCAAAATTACAACGTTAGCAGACTTAACATTGATATTTTGTTTTTTCTCACGAAAAAAATTTTGCTTCTTCTTCTTAAAATAAATACAACTTGTAGTGCCTTTTGAAACAGTTATGATTAAATAAGGTGATATTCTACAAGATAACTGTATCGATGTCGCTTTTGTGTGTTTACTGGCAATTTTAGTGTTTGCTTGCAGAAAGTGGCGTGACAACGAGGTTGGGTAGTAGCCGGAGCAGTCACGAATCACACTACGAGAGTTTTGATTTTGAGGCTTCATCAGCGCACGCCTCCAAGTGTGTTTACATTGTTAAAATAAAGACAATCACTGCGTTCTTACTTTCTCTGGGAGTCACCGTTTCGTGCGCGAAAACGGATGGAACGGTTGTTTAGCTTTCACCAGAAGAGATAACAATACTGTAAATATGCATGTTTTTCGATTTGAGTCACTTGACGTCAGCTTTGCATGAAAGTGCGCGTTCCATATTCGCAACGTGCCGTTTTTAACCTTTAAAATTCCGGTTTCTGGTGTTAGGACACACACGGACGTTTAGGAAGATGGGGAGAGTTAGGAATGTCGGATGTGCAACGTCGAGCATGATAGTTCTGTGTTTAACGAATACTTTTCATCAGTGTTTACTAACGAGTGCTTGGACTTCGTCCCCACTCTCCCTGAAGAGCTTTACGAGCGCATGCATCCTATTAACGTTAACTCCGCTGGTATTAAAACATTGATTGATAAAGTAAAACTTACTTCGTCCGCTGGAACCGATAACATCAACCCTAAAATTTAAAAGAAACACCCGTGTTATTTCTAGTGAGTATTTGAAACTCATCTTCATTCAGTCCTCATCTCAAAGCTGCCTTCCATCTGACCAAAAGGTGGGAAGGGTAATTCCCAGTCTTTAAACAGGGCAGCCGCTCTTCCGTATCTAATTATCGCCCTAATTCATTGACTTCAATTTCTTGCAAACTACTTGAGCATATCCTCTACTCCAATATCATGAGGCACCTATCATCCCATTTCTTTTCTTTAAACAGCAGCACGGTTTTCAAAAGGTACTTTCCTGCGAAACGCAACTCTGCGACTTCATCCATGACTTGCACACTAACCTTGAATGTCACGTCCAAACTGACGCAGTTTTTTTTTTTTTTTTTTTTTTTTTTTTCAAAAGCGTTTGGCCGTGTTTTTCATCAACGTCTTCTTTCTAAGCTATCATCTTTTTGCCTCGACCAATAACCGTTTGCATGGATTCGTG